CCTAACTTTATGATACCAGGGAGCTTCTTGGGCAGCAGAGTGGCAGTGCTCACTCCCCAGATGCAACAGAGCAAAACAGGAATACGAAGTGGGTTCATGAGCAATATAGGAATCCAAGCAGCCAAACTGATAAACTTAGAATTTTATTAGCTGAGCTCAGAACCATTCATATATAGACCCCTGTTTCAGGGTCCCACTGAGTGGCCCTGAGCTAGAAAGTTGCAAAGCTTTTACAGCATAAAACCACAAAAGACATCCTGTTGGAAACAGTTGAGCTACAACCTTACATTAGTTTTGGCTGACACCTGTATCCTGCTTCTTTGTTGAGCAAGTTAATTTTTCTCTTGTGGTTGCAGGTCATTCTACTTTTCTCATGGGACTTGCACCCTGAGTAATTTTTTACTCTTCTGGGGTCAAATACAGGGCACAAGATGGTTTTGGTTATTCCAAGCTACAACAGACTTTCACCATTGAGTGTCATTTTCATTGAAGATGGAGTGATTGTCTATCACCCATAGGCCCTGGAATCAATGGTCAGCACTACAAACAAACAAACAAAAAAAAGATTTAGCAATGATATTTTTGTATATGTGATGAAAAATTCTCTTATAGCCCACCTGTTTTGCAGGTTTTGACAAGAAAGAACATTATTTCTCAAATGCTTTTAATATATCAACTGAAATGACTAAAATTATGTTTCTTTATTTCATGTAATATGATGGATTACATTGATTAATTTTAAACATTAAATCAGGTTTACATTTTAGAATGAATTAGCAACTAGTATTTGATTTTCACTGGCAAATACATTTTAAGGAGTCTTGCATCTACAATCATGAGTGTATGATGTTTTTTTTAATTTTCTTCTTTGTATTGTCTTTTTCTGCTTTTAAAATCAGCAAAGGTGGTCTTATGAAATGTCAGGATGTGTTCTCTTCTATTTTTCAGAAGCTGTGGCCTTTATAATAATTCTACGTAAAATGTTTGGTAGATGCCTTCAGTGAAACTATCTAGACATGAATGAACTCAATAGTTTAAAGTATATAGGGTAATATAAGTACAATAAAGATAATCCATGTAAAGGAACCTAATAACCTTAAGAAATGTGAACATATGTGATAAACACGAGATAAGATTAATAGTATGAACCAGAGATTTCAGCAAAGATGGTGGATAGATAACAAGCTGGCTTCAGAGGCTCCCTGAGACAGTCAACTTAGAATTCAGCATGATACAGTGTGCAAAGTCCTGAATACAGGAATATGAATTCTCTCATCCAAGAAGAAACTAAGGTGAGAAGAACCAATCAAACTTACAGTCTTGGTGCTATTATTGGAAGAGCTAAAGGCTTGGTGCTCCCACTGCAGCGCCAAACTCGCCTGGCAGCAACTTGTCGAGCAGTCTGAGGTCCTGCCCCTTCGACTCGCTGGAGGCACAGTCACACTGAGGTCAGGGTTCTGCAAGCTGTAGGGAGAGCCTGCATCGGTCTGTGGTGAGTGATGGGAGGGGAGCCATTCCACAGAAGAGGGGGCTCCAGCAGACCACATTCTGGAACCAGGCAGGACAGGCAAGAACAAGGGTAGCAGTGGCTCCTGTCAGTTGTTTCCTTCCTGAACGGGATTGGTGGAGTGAGTCATGTGACCTGGCTGAGACCCAACAGGTTATCCAAATCAATTCCCTATGGCAATTGTGCGCACTAATGCAGTGAAGCCTCAGCAGGTTGACAACCTGGAGGGGAGAAGCCAGTATATGCTGCCTCTGTTTGCAACTCACTAGAAAACTGCAGTGGGAAGGGCCATCTAGCCAACATGCTTCAGAAGAATTATAACCAACAAAGAAAGAAACTGGGGCCTCCTGAAAGGAACAAAAAAGATGGGAAGCGGAAGCAATAAGAAAAAGTCCCCAGGTCCCAACCCTGAGAACATTGACCCAGGACAGGTAAATACAAAGAAGAATGAGGACAGCAAACATGCAATATCAGACACGGCACCAGTGGACATAAAGAGATGTCTTCGGGACCTCATAGATGAGTTCAAAAGAGAAATATTTAGCCAAGTAAAGCAAGATATAAGATCAATAAAAGAGATGCTAAGCACCCTTCAAGAAGACACAGACAGAAGAATGGAGGAACTCAAACAAAAGAATCACTTGATGAAAAATACAAAGAAAATATAGAATACATGAAGCAGATTCAAAGAGATTACCAGAAAATTAAAAACTCTATGCAAAACTGACAAAAATCCTTGAAAGAAACTAAGGATAGATTATCCAAACTGGAGGACAGATTTGCAATGTGGAATTATTCAAGGAAGAAATTTTTTAAAATAACAAGTAAACAAGCAGTAACAATACAAAAGCTAGAAGATGACAAGAGGATCTATAACTTGAGAATAAAGAATATGAATGAAAAAGCAGGCATACAAACAAAGGAACTACAAAAGCTACTCACAGAAATAGTTAAGGAAAACTTCCCACACATAGGAAAAGGAAATGATATTCAGATCTGTGAGGCATACAGAACTCTAGCCACCTACAACCAAAATAGAGCTAGACCCAGGTATATAATAACCAAGATCCCAGAAATTCAATACAAGAACAGAATACTAAAAGCTGTTAGACACAAGAAACAGATAACCTAGAGAGGAAGGCCCATCAGAATTACAGAAGACTTCTCCATGCAAACCATCAAATCAAGAAGATCCTGGAGCAAAATATTCCAAGCCCTGAAAGAAATAACCTCTCCCAGATTGATATACCTTGCAAATCTGTCTCTAGAAATTAATGGAGAAACAGGATGCTTCCAAGACAGAGAGGAACTGTGGGAATTCATGACCACCAATCCAACTCTACAGAGAATACTTGAGGGCATTCTAGAGAGAAAAGTAGTAGGATTCCAGGAACAGTGGCAGAGAGGCCTCAATGAATGGAGCAGAAAACAGAATGAAGAAGATAAGCAGACAACGGATGACAAAAAAGAGCATAACAGAAATGAGGCAGAGAAGGTTGGTTATAATTTGTAATATAGATGGCCTTGATACACTAAATTTAAAAAAGAAGAACTACACATGGAGTAGATTAGGAGGGAGGGTATTTATAGGAAGAGGCTATTTATAGGAAATATAATTAATATGAAAAACAGTACATGAACTGCAAATAAAATATGAGATAACAATACTCTATGTAAGAGAAAACCAGAGAGTAATAGGGGCAACTATGCCAGTATTTGTGGATAGGTTGGAAAGAGAGGCTTTAACAGGTAAAGGAATATAATTAGTGATCAAGTCCAGGAGAGAGGAGATTTGGAACCACTTAGGTAAATGGCAGGTTGCCCTTCCCCAATTTAAAACCAAGGGTCTTGGTGAAACACAAAAATGCACAGTGTGCCCTGGGGAAGTCAAAGGGGAGGGAGAATCTTTAAAAAGATGGCAGAAGATATTGTTAATAATGTATCAGTATTTGAAACCCACATTATTCACACCACTCTGCTTAGACAGATTTTATTCTGTCCCAGTTTGTCTACTTGCATTAGAGTTGAGGGCACAGATAGCTATCCCAAAAACATCAGGATATAGCACAGTATTCATATTTAATTTCCTATTAACTTAATCTGGACCCCAGTATGACTTATACTGTTTTATCATGACTGATCTTAGTTTGTTTGATTTGATTTGTTAAATCTGGTTTGTTTGATTGCTATTTGGTACTGACAGATTTATTCAAAACTGATATGATTGATAGTATCAAGTTTGAGAGCATAGTCAACTACACTGAAGATGACAAGACTCACTATGATACACATTCTGATTTGATTACCGCCTGTTTTTGAAGTTTTATACTATATACAAAGTTGTGTTTTTATTAATATTGTTATGTACTAATATATTCAATTATACTGTCTGATGATATAGCCAATTCTATTGAAGAAAGCAAGAGACAACACAGAAACTATGTAAAACTGCTTGTACAGTGGTCTTATATGTCTTTTTAATTTCATGTGTTTATAGGAATATGTTTTGTTTTGCCCTGCTTTGTTTTGTTTCTCCCTCTAATATAGAAAGGATAGAAATAAATGTTAGGACTCATGCGTATGTAGAATCTATAAACAATTTATGAGAACTGATCATATGACACATAATGAAATGAACAGATACTCTGAAGAAAAAGAGACACTAAAATACCCAGGGCTGATCCTGGAGTGTCATAACGTGAAACCCAGCAACAGTACTATTCTTTGTTCAGAGTGATATTAGACTGCTTGGGGTTGTTTAATCTCAACATAATTGAAGATATGGATAACTGCATGTATGTTAAGTAGATAGGAATGATAACCATATTTCTAAGTCTTTGCTGGACAGTTGAACAGAACTGGTTGCAGTCTCACTGTTTGAATCCCCACTTTTATGCTCCACTTTAGTATCATGAATAACTATTTGTAACTAGTCAATCTGTAATCATCAACTAGTGATTTCTTACTGCCCAGTTTTTTCTTTGAAAGTATGTATTATTTCTACCCATTTTCTGTTTTGTTTAGTCTTTCTTTAAACAACTAAAAAAAATGACACTACAGTACCCAGTGCTGATCCTGGAGTGTCATGATGTAAAATCCAGCAATAATATTATTCTTTGTTCAGACTGATTTTAGCCCACTTTGTTTTGTTTAATTTCAACATAAATGAAGATTGGATAACTGCATGTATGTTTTACTATATATAAGATTGATAACCATATAACTAAGTTTTTATTGGATAGTTGACTTTATATGTTCCATTTTTGTATCTTGAATAACTATTTGTAAGAGAACAGTATGTAAATATCAACTAATGATTTCTTACTGTTTTTTTTCTTTGAACATATGTATTATTTCTACCCATTTTTGTTTTGCTCAGTCTTTCTTTAAACAAAATAAAAATAATAAAAAAATAACAAGAATTGTCTTACTTTTCTTGTTACTGAGACAAAATACCCAACACCCAAAGATAAAAGGGAAAAGATTTATTTAGCTCAGTTTCTAGAGGTTTCAGGCCATTTCTCAGCTGGCTCCAAGGTAGGGTGGTTGGGCAGAGGGAAATCACAGAGAGAACAGTTCATGGCACCCACAAGATGGCAAAAGCAACAAGATCAAAGGGGAGGACACACCTTTTTCTGCCCGTCTTATTTTATCCAGACTACTGGGATTAGGGCGGTGCCAGTCCATTCAGTGGACTGATCTAGCAATCACTCACCCTTAATCCCAGCACCCTTAGTCCTAGCACTAAGCCATGAATCAATCACAAACCTTTGGAAAATACCCCATCCAAAAGTGCATGGGGCTTTCAGGGGAAATCTAGACATAAACCATAACAAGAACTAAAATGGGGAAGAGGGATTTAGAAGGGGAGGGAGGCAACAGGAGGGAAGAGGAATAAAAAAAGAATCAAACTGTGTTATGTATACATACGCACTCCCTGAGATGATTGTAAATTGTATGCACTGCAATATGTACTAAAAAGAGAAACAAAATAACCAGAAAGTTTATACAGCTATTAAATTTATTTATTGAGTTGTTTGTGGCAGTTGGTGCTTCTCAAGGAATTTGATTTCATCTAAATTGTGAAATTTATATACACAGTTGTATTCCTTTAGTGTACCATGATGTGTAAATGCTCTGTAGAGTCATGCTGTTTCATTATAGATCATGGTAATTCTCTCTCTCTCTCTCTCTCTCTCTGTCTCTGTCTCTGTCTCTCTCTCTCTCTCTCTCTCTCTCTCTCTCTCTCTCTCTCTCTCTCTCTCTCTGTTTTCTTTAAATTTTTCAATTCTATATATCTTCTCCAAAAAAAAAAGCTCCCCACTTTTTCCTTTCATAGGAATTCCATATGGTTAGTAAATTTCATTTACTTCTGCTCTTAACTTATCTCCTTTCTTGCCCTTATGGTAGTGCATTTCATTCCTTTTTTCCAGTTTTTTGAGTTTGGAACCCAGATTGTTAGATTTGACCTTCATTCTTTGTCAACACATGCAGTTAGTGCTCTAAATATATTTTTAAGCACTGCTTTAAAAGTGTCTCACAAATTTTGATATGTTATTTTCATTTAGTTTAATATATTTATATAGCTGCCTATATGAAATTTTTTAAATGAAAAAAGAATAAAAACAATGATACAGAATTTCAAAACATAAGATAGCAAGAGGCATATGGTAACCATTGTAGATCACTTTGTATTTTGTTTTTACATTATGTATTATGTCCATCCTTTTGATTTGACTGACTCTGTCCTGTTATGTCACACTTGGTTTTACTCTTTTCCAAAAAAGTAGTATGAGGGGATTTAGGTCAGCAGCATAAGTGCCTGCCTTGCAAGTGCGTGGTCGTGAGTTCGACCCCAGTACAGGTTTAAAAAAAAAAAAAAAGTAATAAGAAAAGTGGGAGTAATAAAACCCAAAATGTGCAATTGTCATTGTACAAAAGAGAGGAAAAGAAAGTGCTCTAAAGGACATAACTGCATGTATATTTAAGTGTATAAGATAGAAAACCATATTACTGAGTTTTATTGGATCATTGAACAGAACTGTTTGCAGTCTCACTGTTTGAATGTCCACTCTATATGCTTTAATTTTGTAACTTGAACAACTATTTCTAAGATGACAATGTGTAATCTATTAACTAGTAATTTCCTACTGTTTATTTTTTTCTGAAATTCTTTATAACTTGTACCCTTTTCTGGTTTTTTTTTTCTTTTTTCTCCTTAAATAAAATTTTTAAAAAAGAATTTCAAAAAAAATATTAGGAGATTAATGATGGCTAATATTTATTGTGATCTTCAAAGTAGTTGCTCAGATTATAAGATATAAGCATGAAAAAATGATCAAACAACTATTTTTTATTTCCTTTAAGACACCATTTTTACCCAAGAGATACTTAGAAGTATGTTAGTGATTTTTCAAGTGCTTGAAGTTGATCGATTATCTTTATGTTATTACTAGTCTAATTTCATTTCCTTGTATCCAGGATATACTCTTCCTGCATTCAATTCTTTAACTTTTGTTTAGGTTCCTTTTATAGCCAAGGATATGATATAACTTGGTAAACATCCCATAGGCACTTCAAAATAATAAGCATTGAGCTGCTGTTTGATGGAGTTATCTGTAAATGTTCATTAGATCCTATATACTAACAGTGTTGAGTTTTATTTTCCTCCTGAATTTTGGTTCAGTTACTTTATTTTTGTTCAGAGAGAGATGCTAGAGTCTCCACATGTGGTTGTGGGTTTACTTAGTTTTCCTTTCAGTTCTATTGGCTGTTGCTTCACTTATTTGTAGTTTAGCTGTTCGGCACACATGCATTTGGGATCCACATTTTCTTTAGGGATTAAAATTTTAATTACTATTTAAAGTGTTTCAAAATGTTCTTTGCTTTATTGTCTCAACAATGTTAAGTGAAATAGATCAGGAATACAAGTTTAAAAACTTTCACTGAAGTTGGGAAGTCATTATAACTTCAAAACATTTTCAGTATCATCCATTTTTATCTCCGAGTCTCCAGTAAAACATAGCTTGTATCACTTATAAAAGTCCCATGGTTTTTTGATGTGAATAATAGGATTTAAAATTTTACAAAAATAAAGTAAGTAGTAGATAAACTACCCAAAATTTCTAAAAAACTGAAAAATGGAATAAAGTATGAAGAACTATACATGCAGTAGAGTTAACAAATTTGTTCTATAAAAACTTTTGTACAATAAAAGCCCAAGTCCAACCTCCTTTAGTTATTGTAATCTTTTTGGGGGGTATCAGGGATCAAACTCACAATCTTGAGCTTGCCAGGCAAGTGCTTATGCTGCTAATCCAGACCTCTAGCCAGAGTAATTACAATCTTCAAGGAACAAATACCACAATCATATGCAAACTTTCATTGTTGGATGACATTACATTGTATAAGTATAGCATGTTTTGTCAGTTTATTATGTGGCTGCTATTTGGATTGTTTCCTATTTGGCTTATTTATTTATTTTTATTTTAAAGAAGGTAAAATAGAATAAAACCAATCAAAACAAACCAGTATAAGAGACATAGGATTTCAAAACATTATGAAATCAACAATAGTTACCATAATGCCTTTTGATGTCTTCAAAATAGCTGCAGATAAGTTTGAACATAGGAAAAATAAAACAGAACAAAACAGAATATAATCAATAAAAACAAAACAATGAATGCAATAAAGGATTTAAAAAAAATCATGTAATAACTCCAAAAATGCTACTATATCTTGTTATCCTTGAAATAGCTTTTGATGCCATCAGATTTAACATAAACATAACAGAAGAGAACAAAAGCCAACCCAACAAAACAGTGGAAACCATATAGGACCTCAAAGCAAGCCCTTCGGGAATCAACAATGGCTACAACCCTCCCCCAGTCCACGAATCGCCTCTTTTAAAAATTAATTATAAATGTTTATTGAAAAGCAACTATACTCCCACTGCATAACAAATAAAAATAAAACATATTGGTTATATTTTACACAAACATAAAGCAGTGATAACTTTCACCACAAAATTGGTTGTTATAACTAATGCTACTCTTAACATTTGCATGTATATTTGGGCAAGGCATGTGTCTCCATTTCTCTTGAGTATTTTTAATTTAACTTATATTGAAGCTGGAATCAAGGTGGGGCACACAAAAGCTGCATGTGATGGTGGAGAAATTATGTTCAAATAATTATTCTTCTAAAATAGACTTCTGAATTGATTATTTTTGATTTGATTTACACTTGAAGCCACAGACTCTTCGCTGGAACACAACAGCAGAACCCTCCTTCTCAACCAGTTCACACTAGGAACATCTACCAGCTTGGGACAGTTGGATAATGAGGTCTGTGAACTCAGAGTCAAAATTATAGACAAGATTTTTTTAAAGTATTGATTTGCTTTTCAAACTTGCTTTTCAGCAAGCTCTTTTGTTATTTTGTTTTGACAAATGGTTTGTGTTGAGATTGGAGGCACTGACTTTTTAAGCTTTTTCTCCATTTTTAATTGACAAGTAGAAAGTAATTGGTAAATAAAATTACTTTTGGTGCCCAGCATGATGTTTCTGATAAATATATTGGAGGATGGCCTACAACCTATGGAACACATAATTACATGTAAATTAAAATCACTTCTGCATTGTGATGTAGCCTTCCCTTTTCTAACTTTTGTCCTGAGAACTGGAAGAAGATGACCTTCACTCCATGTTTGTTTGAGACAAAAATAATAACATAATGTTGCATGAAGGAAGCTCAGGGACCCAGGAGACAGGAAGGGTTGAACACAAAGGGGCCAGGAGAGAAGGAAGGGAAGTCCTGGTGTCTGTGCCAGGGCTTCCAAGTCAGGGGTGGTTGAGGAAGCATGGGGAGGACACTTTATGAAGGGTCACTGAACAGAGGAGCCAGGTCCTGAGGTCGCCTCGCCCTGCGGAGGACCAAAGCCAAACAGGAAGCTGGACACAACGCGGAGAGAGGTAGGAACACAGGTCCATCCTTCAGGGTTTCCAGCTGCACTTCAGTTCAGGAGTCCTGGAGAAGACAGAGGACAGTGGTGTTCCAGATCTAACTGTCGGTGGCCCTTCCCCTCTCAAGAACCCCTTTAACAACACCACGGAAAGAAGAAAGGTACATTCCCAAGCCTCCAGAGCAATGCTACTTCAGAGCACAGGGCTCTTAGGAAGTGGACTAAGTGGAACAAAGGTTCAGTGCAAACTTCCAGATCAGAAGTAAGACTTTCTTACTGCTGCTGACTTGAGGTTTGTTGTTTCCATCTGTTGCAAGGAATGCAAATTCACTTCTGAGAGAGGATGAAAGGACATTACCTGTTGGCTGAAATCCAGAGTGTGCTGGGAATGAAAAGAAGATATTTATGTGATATGGATAGGAATTTATACTCTACAGACAACATTCCCAGGACCAGTACTGTCACCTGAGATTTCTTAACAACACAAATCTACAGCACCAGGACAGAGAGGGGAGTACAAACTGAAAACCTGTGACCCAGGAATCCTACAAATTCCACAGATTCAGTGTTTGGAGGCTCCTCTTTTATGTTCCCTCATTTCTTGTTCACCTTTCCTTTATCTTTATACGCCATAAATCTAGGTTTCAACATAGCAAAACAGACTTGATTTCTGTATTTTCAGGAAATTTGAGATCGACTGGGGAAAGGAAAGCTTAACACAGAGTCATGGATATGCTGATAAGTAATCCCAGAAGAATCTTTATTTTCCCCCAGAGAAGTCTATGGAAATTGTTAGCTACCAACAGGCTCCTTACCTTCATGAGTCTTGAAGCTGAGGAACAGCCCCACCCCAAGGAAGAGCAGACCTAGTCCGCAGGCTATAATCCCACTCAGCATTTTATTCTGTGCCGATCCAGATTGTGTTTCTGGAAGAAGAAGTCAAGTTTACAGGGTTTTTAACTCAAGTCCAACTCTTCTCATTGAGTTCCTGAGTTTTATAGCTTTGAGACTGCAGGAAGATGCCTGCACTAGAAATTCCAGCACTGGCTATTCTTGGAAACAGATGTAGAAATCACAATGAGTTGACACAACTCCCTGGTCTTGAACTCATTTAAAGATACCAGCCTTATATTAGCACCTGATCTTTAAAGGATCTTGGTCCCAGTGGGGTTACAGAGCTCGTCTGGGGTAAAGGACGGGACTAAGAATGGACTTCTCTTATGTCTAGAGGCCCTGTTCTGATCCTCTTTTCAGCACTGTATCACTGATTAGAACAAGGGTTGCACTAGGTTGAAGCTAGTGGAGAAGGTCATCTGTCCACCTCCTTAGACGTGGGCCAGTTCAGCATCAGCAGCAGAGACCAAACTTATGGGCATGTCTGAAGCAGTGATTGCATGGTGACAACTGTGGAAAGGTCAACCCTATGGTATAAGGATTGTCCCAAGGTGCCCAGAGAAACAGAAGCAGACAGATCTAGGATGGCACAGAATATAATTTATGTGGCACTCAGTTACAGAAGTGTGGTCCTTGACAGCAGCATAGTCCAGTGGGTCCCTGAAATTTGGGTTAAAAAGGTGGGTAAATGCATTACTTAGGACCCAAAGTTTCTTCATCCAAGCCAAAATGTATCCAGTTTACTTTAAGATGGTACCAAAGAATTGGGCACCTTTATAAAGAATACATAAACAATAGTGCTTTGTTTCACAAATGCTTTACGCAACAAAAAATTAGTTCAAAAAGAGCATTTGGCAAAATTTGGCAAAGTCTTCATTAGGCGATAAACACGATCAAGCCATCTTTCTCACACAAACAAAAATGTGATCACCTTTTCCAAAATCATACAGCAAGTTAGGTTCATGAACCAAGGTGCCACTGTGTATAAGGGAAGAGATGTGGGCAAGAATTAAGAAGTGCCATGCACATATAACAACTCTCTGCAATAAATGTAATTGTTACGCACTACAAACATATACCAATAATTATTAAATGAATGATAAATGTTTTCCACTTTCTCCTTCAGGAAAGAGGCGAGGAGAACAAATAAGAAATGTGTATCTCCTTCAAGGTGTAACTCTCCTCGTTCTTCCTTCTCTCCTCTGAAGCCAGTTGGGCACTGGAGAGCATCTGAATTGCTCATAGACACTGCCTTTCCTTCCCACAATAGGACAGATGGCTTTCAGTAAAGAGCTGCTACAAAATTAATAGCTGTTTTCTAGTGTTAGTATGGTCACACAGTGGATTTAAAGCATGTACTATCAGGGCCACTCTGACCCACATTAAGTTAGAGTGCCACCCCTGGATATCCTTCATAAATGCTGACTTCCTTTGCCCATTCCATGGATTCCTGACTGGCTTGCCAATTATTCTAGGACAATACAGCCTCCGTGTATGAGGACTGGCCCCACAGTGCCATGTCAAAGAAGAAAGATAAACAGATCTAGAACTGAAGCACAAAGTATTTGTGGTAGCAGCACCAAGAGATCCCTGGGATTTGAATCAGAAGGTTAGGCCAAAAGTGACTTCATCTAAGATGTAATGTATGTAGTCTATCTTAAACTAATATTGAACAGTCAAGGCACATCCTTGGCTCCAGGTCCCAGTTGCAAAGTTTCACATAGCTGTCTAAGTGCTTTGTCTATTTATAGTTTGCTAGAAAACTATGCAAGTAAAATGAAGAATTATACTGGGGCAATCAAGCTGGTTACCGTTTCAGATAACTGTGATCATGTTAAGCTAAATATACCTTCACATGTGACATTACGGGAAAGTTCAAAACAAGGATAGCCACTCTCTGGACTAGTAGGCAAATGATTTCATCAAGCATGTAAGTCCCCAGAGGAACTATCAAGAGTTACCACCATGGCTTGTGCAGAAGGAGAGGAAAACATGAAGCCAACAAACTTATGGTGTAGGGATGTCTTAGTTACTTTTCTCCTTGCTGAGGCAAATTACTTAACACCCAAAGTTAAAGGAGGAAAGGTTTATGCAGCTCTCGGTTTGTAGAAATTTCAGTCCATAATAGGCAGTCACTAAGGCAGCATCCAGAGGCAGAGGGGAAATCATTCCTGGCAGAAGACATCAAAAGCAACAAGAGAGGACACTTTTGACATGGATTTTAAAGCAACGCTTAAACTGTTAGGATTTTGACAACTCTTGGAGATGGACTAAACGGCAGTTGCATAAAGGGATGTGCGTGAGTTTTGGGGGACCAAATGATTATGGACTGAAACCTGTATAAACTATGAGCTAAATAACTCTTTTTCCCCTTAACGTTGGGTGTCAGGTATTTTGCCTCAGCAATAAGAGAAATCTGACACTCAAGAATAAGCCAAATCTCCTGGTGGACTGGTCGGGCATTCATAGGGCCAGGAAGCTGCTACTCACCCCACTCCACCATGACAGGGCTGCTCCAGCTCGGGTGCTCCACCCGGCAAGCATAAACCTCTCCTCTCTGGGGAACAGTTTCCAGCATGACCAGGGTCTGGAAGGTCCAGTCTCCATTCTGGATCAGGCCTGTGGATACCACCCCAGCCTCCTCTTCTCGCCCATTCCGGAACCATCTGACCTCAATGTGTCCTGGGTAGAAGCCACTCACAGAGCAGACCAGGAGGTTATGGTGCTGCAGGGGCTGGGTCCTTGTGGGGTACACGGTCACCTTGGGCTCAGCTAGAGGAGGAAAGGCAGAGAGGATAAATAAGAAAGGAAGAGTAATCTTTCTTGGCTGGACGCCTCTCTGCCTCCTTTCATGCCCAGATTCCAGGACAGCAGTCCCCCTCCACCATGGCTGGCCAAGAAACCTCATGGAGTCTTGAGTCACTGGATTTGAGAGACAGGGAGGAAAATTATGTTCAGTTTTGTTTATAGTTTGAAAAATTATTCAGTTTTGAATTGAAATATTTATAATGTTTTGCAAAACATGTAGTATGTTAATTAGTATGGTTTCTAGACTACTTGGTTTTAAATCCTGGATCTGCCTCTCACTGACCATCATGGAAGTGTTTTTACATTTCTTTTTGTCTTACCTTAGGGTCATATGAGGTTACAGAACCTAAAATATAAAGAATTGACTGAAACTTAGCTTTCAAGGTATATTATCTAAATTAATTATGTTTTGAGAAAAATTATGACCCAAAGCAGTGTGGATGGGTAGATGTTAAATATATTACCTCAACAGACTCACATCCTAAAATGTCCCTGAAAAGGTTCCCCTGGGACAGAGGTGGCTTTAAGGCAGAGAGCTGAATTCCAGGAAAACCGAGATCCCCAAGAAGAGGGGAACGGGTAAGAACAGTCAGTATTTAATATTTTTGTGTTTATACTTTGTTGATAATCTTTCATGGCATAAGGATATTCATCATTAGACAGCTTTTCATTTGACAGCTGCTTCTGTTTCTGACAGACACTTGCACCCTGGCCCAGGTCTGACTCCATCTAGTATGTGTGCTTAGTGCCTGGGCTAATCTTCACACAACCAACCTCAGTAAATGCAGATTGTTAAAAAGGGTCAACCTGGGGAAAATATTCTCTTAAAAATACAAAAAAAGAGGAATTTTAAAATTGATTGCTTAACACAGAGACTTTTGCAGAAATTTTCATTAAATAAAAAGTTAAATTATTAACATAGAGAGGAATAAGAAGAATTAAAATAAAAACCACAAACTGAAGGAAATACTGAAGCAAATACCAACAAAGTGTTCAGTTTTTACTACATAAAGATCCCACAGAACACTGAAAAAGACAAACAGGGACCCCAGAGAGAGCAGACCTTGAATTCTTGGTATAAATAACACTTGTGCAGTAAATGTGAGCAATGTCCAAGAAACTTAGAAACCAGAGAAACAGAAATTAAGCAAAGAACCAATAAAAATCAAAATTAAAAAGACAGAAAAAAATTAAACAAATGTAACTGAATATTTGGCAGTATTTAAAAGATCTAGCAGAAGAGAACATGAAGTTGCCCTGACTCTACAAAGGACTACATCAGTTTTTAAGTAGTATCAGCATTACCTAAAAAATAGTAGTAATAATATACTAAGTAATGAAATTATAATTGAAAAATTCAATTGATCAATCATTTTAGGTATGTAAAAAATGCATATTAAGAAAGCACACAAAACAATTGAAAAGTTCGATCACAGCAAGGTCAGCAGCAACTCAGGAACACACAGATGCACACGTACACATGCATGCACACGTGCACACACATACAAACGTGCACACACACACACACACACACACACACACTCAGACCTCCCCGCCACCCCTGTGGGCCCCAGCCCAGCGCTCACCTCGCCGACCCAGCAGGATTCTAACCAGTTCATAGTTGTTTCTGCACCTGTCCACCGCGGCCCGGTAACTGTCCAGGACGTCCTTCTGGCTATTGAAGTCCTCGGCTATGGGCCGCCCCAGCTCGGTCACCGCCCGGAACTCGCCCACGTCGCTGTCAAAGCGCAGGAACTCCTCCTGGTTGTAGATGTACCTGGTCACGTGCTGCACCCGCTGAATCCCGTGGAAGAAATGACATTCCCCCTTCATCTGGCCCAGGAAGTGCGCTGTGGGGACAGGAAGGCTGGGTCACAGGTGGGTCGACCGTGGAGGTCACTGTGACATCCACGATGATGGCACTCGGGACGTGGTAAGCAGTGGAACACCCCACTCACCCACCAGACCCAGGCCTCCCTGCAGGATTAGGAGACCTCAGCTGGTTTCCCCTCTCCTGCCCCCCTGCAGGAGGCCCTGCAGGAGGACTCCATGAGAGCCTTTCCCTTCTGTCTCCTTCACTGTAGGCTGAGCCTGTGCCAGGCCATACTGCCCCTGGGAATCCACAGACAGACGATGGAGACACCTCTGCCTCCTCTCCTGGGATCTAATCTGTGGACCAGGCACAAAAACCAAACACATAGGTTACACAGGAGTGAACGGACTGTGGCGGTCTCTTCATTGACCGAGGAAGATGTAAATGACAATAGGTGCCAGGAAGGACTCTGACAGGTGACATCTAAGGTGTGCCAGGGAAGGTGCAGTGAGCCAGAGGACCAGGGTGGTGTGCACAGTGTTTGGGGGAAGGGAGAGCCTGTCAGCTAGGGTGAGACCGTGTGCAAAAGCTGAAAGGACTGGAGAATTTCTCTAAGGAACAAGACCACAGGGCACTGAGAAACCATGGAGGGGAAGATGGCCAAAGATGAGGAAAAAGAAAGCACGGAGAACTGAGTACCTGAAAATCATTATGGTCTGGAGTTTGAGTTTACGGTAAGTAATGGAGAAATACTGAGAGGTATAAGGATTAAATCATTATCAGTACTAATCCAAAACCAACCGTCTAGCTGGATTTCCAAATACAGAGGCTCAGACAACCATAGTTTTTTAAAAGAAAATTTATTTTGTTGGTATATGCTTGCATTATATATGATTACATTCATTGTGTATATCTTAATTCTTTTTAGGTCTCCTTTTCCTCCCTTCCATTCTGGCTGTGTCTTTCTATTTTTTCCCCTACCCTCCCTAGCCCCTTCCTCCATCTCTTGATCCTCTTCCTATTCAAGAAACATCCATCTCTCTCCCTACCCATTTGTCAAGTCTGACTGAACCAGTAAAGATACAGGTATCTCTGATGGGCCAATACATTACATGTGCTTCTATATTTTCAATATACAGAAACATAAGCACTTTGGAGTCCATTTAGAATTCACCACCCTCTTCCTCTAGCTCATGCTAAGCCTTCTATGACACACCTTATGTGTACCTATCCATATAGATATATCATGTATATGTATTTAGTTTTGTTTTTGTATTTAATTGAGCTCAGAAAATGTTTAAAAAGTGGTTTCCAATGTGTGGTTAAAAGTGAGATAAATAAATTCAAGCATCTGGCATGATCAACAGTACCAAATAACTGCAGAGACCTGAAAATACTTGTGGCTGTCACCACTTTTTATGACTGACAAAGGCATGTTGCTGAAACTGAGCAGAGATGCTGTGGTCTAAGAACTCAGGAAACACTGATAAACACTGCATGCTGGGGAAAAGCCAAACGTGAAGATCTTGAACTTGTACTGATTGAATGAAATCAACAAGAAAATGGAGAATTCATGTCACTGTCCTGTTGGGTTTGTTTTGTAATGAGACAAACTAAACTAAACCACAAAAAGCTGAACTCGAAGGCAAGTGCTTGTGAAACACAAGTCTAGCATTTCAGAAGCAGGACGGTGTAAAGCAGGGTGCTCAACCTCTGTGAACAATCTGTGACACTCTGTGAGCACCGTGTGACATTTTGAAGCAGAAAATTTGCCTAAGGCCTGCTGACAGTGATATGTGTAAAGAAAAAATGGCCCTGGTAAGAACCACTGGTGTAAACCACCCAAAATATCAGTGGTGAAAAAACCCACTGATAATTCTGAAGTGGCTGAGAATCACATAGAAAAATTTACTGATGCACCATCTGATGAAGACCTCGGTTCTGAACAAATTTACTTTGCTGAAGAAAAGCCCACAGTAGGATGAGATTTCTAAAGACACTCATAATATTTAGTCAGAGATAAAGTTATTTTCAAAGATAGGAGAGATTCTAAACTAATCTTTACTCTTCTTGGGTGTGATGATGCTCGATACAAGCAAAAGGGGCAACAAATGGAAAAAGTTCAAATCCAGTGTGTCTGAACTGTGTATTTTACTTGTGAATTATTTTTTTATAAAGGAAAATGTGAACAATCAGTGATAGGTTTTTGACAGATTTCATGGCCTCTCCTGTCGTTGTCTCAAATTCATGCCAAGAGGTATGAAATTTTATCTTCCCTATATAGTGCTGCTCAAGCCACAATCCTGAACTGTTTGTAAAAGGTGAAGCTTCAGCTTTTAATGTGATCCATAAGACATCTGGGTTGAAATTTTATTACCAAAGTATTCTTGTCCTACAGAGTGCAGGTGTGAGTAATTTTTAAACTCTATGCTTACTGCAGATTAAAGATGCCTAGGAATCCACACCTACCAGAAAACACTTAGCTATTGATTGTTAAAGCTAATATTTAATAAATAAACCTTAACAAATATTTGGGCAGGCTGGAGACTGTGTCCATGTTTGCAAATGGACTAACAGAGGAAGCATATGTAAAATATCATTTCATGAATGAAGAGGAAATCATATAAATTTCAGTATATGATACATAGTTTATCAGAAAAAAATCCAAACAAATGAAAGGAACATGACACAAAAATACAGAGCACCCATGTCCTACAATTCCAGGAACGTGGATCCAGGTCTGCGATTCCAAATGTCACCTGCACATGCACTGGGGGACCTGAGGAATGTCTCCTCCAGAGACTTTGCACTTGGAACCACAGATGCTGGTGTCAGAAACTCTGAACACTTGTGCCTATCCCTTGGGACTTAGAGAAGCTATTATCTGTGTCCCATAGGCCCACAAAAGTAGTTCCCAGGACATGCTCCAGCACCCCATATGAGCTAAGGAACACAGACTCCTTTGTTTTTACAACTATTTAACATCTACTCAGTGTCCTCTGCTGCTGTATATTCTTCCCTTTACAAGCTTTCAGTGGTCATCAGATTACCAGCCTCGGCCTGGACTCCTAGGCCTATAGTCAGGCCCTCACAACAGGGAGACACAGGGAACATGGTCTCTTCACAGAGGCTGTTTACAGGATCTGAGACTTAGGCCTGGAGAAAAGATGGCAAGAGGAGTAAATTTTGGGTCAGACAAGGACTTTCTTACTATTTGTGAATTCTCTCCTTTGTGACACATGAGAAAGTTAATGAATAAAACCAAAGTTTCTGTCTCAAGTCATTTCCATGCTGCTCCATGCTAGCACTGTTACTCTGTGCTAGAGACTGTCATAGTGATTGCACCCCTAGTGAGTCTCTCAGCAGCAGAGGAAACAATCTTTGTTTAGTATTTTGAAGTATCTAAATGGGCTTAAGAATCTATTATCACATCTTTCAAAGTGAATAATTACAAACTAAAGGAGTGGCTTGATTAGTGTTCACTGGAAAATGTAGCAATTGAGATAACAAAAACCCATGGATACTCTTTCAAATGCCACTAGCACTGTTTCTCCCCGCCTTTCATCTACCTCCTTGCTTCCATCTCCCCGCTCCACTTCCGTCTTTCCAGCTTCCTGCTATGGTGTCCTCCTTTCCCTGCCCAAGCTTCCCTGATGCTGTCCCTGGGTTCCTTCCTGAACAGCTCCCTTCAACATCTAAAAGACAGGCAATGGAAACATACACATCACTTACACTCTTTTTTTTTTTTTTATTTAAGAGGAAAAGGAGAAAAACACAAAACAAAACAAAGCGGTGTAAGGGTACACGTAATACAGAACTACAAAAAAAAAAAAAAAACATAACAGTAAGAAATCACCTGTTAGTAGATTACATATTATCATCTTGAAAATAGTTGCTCAAATCACAGTATCAAAGAATACAAGGTGGACATTCAAACAGGGAGACTTCAAACAGCTGTGTTCAATGATCCAAAAACATTGATATAGTCAGCTATTTAACACCCCTAAACACACTTGCTGTTATATCTGTTAGAGCTCTTTTTCTTTTTTTTTTTCTTTTTTTTTCCCTCTCTTTTTTACAACAAAATTTACACATTTGGGATTTTATTACTCCTTAGTGCTTATTACTTTTTTTTGGGGGGGGGGGAGAATACAGTCAAATATGGCAAAACAGAGCTGTCAGTCAAAACCAAGGATAGACATAGCACATGGTGTAGAACAGAGTACAAGGTTATCAACAATGGTTATCAACGTTGTCTCTTGTTTCCTTAAAAAGAATTGTCTATCTCATTAGATATTATAAAGTTGGACAAAACAGTAGAGAACAAGACCAATAAAACTTAGGCATTGTAAACATTACAGGACTTCCAAAGAAGACAATAGTCAAACCAGAATGGGTATCTTAGTGAATCTTATTGCCTTCAAAGTAGTTGCCTATGTCTTCAAACTTGATACTATCATATAGAATGGAACAGAGTCTAATCAGTCAAAACAAGATCGTGGGAGTATTACAGGACTTCAAAACAAGTTAATAGGAAATCAAATAGAGTTACTATTTATATGTCCTAATTTTTTAAATTTTTTCTTTAATTAAAACAAACATAAGAAATGACTAAATAATTTTTTTAAAAGAATAAGGGGGAGATTGAGATAAAACAGGACATAACAATATAACAATAGAGGTCGAAGCATGACTGTTTCAGCAACCTAGTACTTCACCACCATATAACCCGACTTAATAGTAGTTACCATAGTGTCTGTCTTTTTCCTTGAAATGTTTGGATAAAACTTCATATACTCTAGCTTCAAATATTTCCATATCAAGAAGCCCAGAATAAAGCCTTTCTAATTAATGAGTGAAAACTTTATAAGGCTTCAAGGCCACCTCATGGGGAATCATGATTACCACATATTTTTATATATTTGAAACATTACTTACATTAGGGAAACTATTCGGTATTCACACATGCGAGATTGATTTATTTCACTTATGAGTATGGTCTCAAGCTGCGCCCATTTATTGATAAATATCTCAATG